ACATCCCCATCCCTATTTTGTATTTTATTTAGAGACAGAGTCTTACTGAGTTGTTTAGCGCCTTGCAGTTGTTGAGGCTGGCTTTGAACTAGCGATCCTCTTGCCTTAACCTCCAGAGCTGCTGGGTCCACTTGTTATCTTTATGACAAATTTTTGCATATTCAAAAGTTTTTCTTTGAACTATTGGTTCTGAACTCTGGCTTCTCTTCAGAATTACCTGGGGAGCATGGTTGAGAAAAAAATTGTATCTTTTCCTTATCCGTGCATGGTTCATGGCTGAGAAATCTCTAACAAAAGACAGATTAAAAAGAGAAACCATGCAATCTAGTTAATAAAATTTCATCTGACATGGGAGCCTTCAGATGAAGACCCAAAGAAATGAGAGAATTATTTTTTTATGGACAGTCATGCAGAAGTATGATTGGGAGCAAAAGGTATAAACTAATGGTAATAAATTGAGGGGGACCTAGCAGGACCTGTTTGTTCAGAATCTTTTCTGTATCCCTGTGTGGCATTCTTTTCTGGGTATAGGGAGGACTCCTGTGGCATGAGGGTCTTCAGGAAAAGAGGGAGGGAAAAGGTCAGAAAGGGACCTTCCTAGATTTTATGACCTGCTTCTTGGGAGAACAGCAGGGAAGGTCAGGAAACAATCCTGTTTCTTCTGACTTCTCAAATGTCAAGGTGTCATATTTTGGGGCAGCATGTCCTGAGCCCCATCAGTAGCTTTTAAAAATATACTAATTCCTTCCTCTCCTCAATGATTCTGATTTAATTTAATTAGGCTTAGGTCTGGTCTTTTTATTTTAATTGCTAATGTGCAGCCAAAGCTAAGAAACAAGGTTAGCAATTTTTCCTCTCTCAAGCTGTAAATTCTCTTGTATAATAATATAAATTCATTAATTTATCCCCAGATTACAGGCTTGCCTATATCCTATAAGTTTATATAATTTTAAATTTTATTAGATTTTGTACTTTTTGAGGTTTTAAATTTATCTTCACTTGCAGTTATTAGAAGTGACAAGTTTTGTTAACAGTTACATTATACATTTCTAATTGTATTACTTTGTGACCAGTGACAATTTATATAATTTCTGTTTTTTAAAATTTCTTGTTTTTGTGAATTGATGTAGTAAATTTCTATAAATCAACCATTGCCGTGTATAAAGGAGCCATCTTCTATATGTAACAAAATTTATTATCATTTATTTCCTTGATTCTAAGATGTTTATAGTTGTGAGAGAAACCATTGATTTAATGATAGCTTTTATCAGGAAGAATAAATAACACTGAATTAAATGTACACAAAATTTTTTATCTACTAACCTAGAAGAGCATGCATTTATTCTCACTGTTACATATCTTTTCTAAGAGTGCTTCATAATTTAAGTCTGAGCCCCTTTTTTTTTTTTTACAGAGAGCCTAAACTGTTTGTTTGTTTGTTTATTGTGGTACTGAGATCAAATCCAGGGTTTCTTGCATGCTAGGCAAGCACTCTGACAAGTAGTCTACCACTGAGCTACTTCCCCAACCCTTGTTTCTTTTCCCTTCTTCTTCTTTCCTCCCCCTCCCCCTCCCCTCCCCCTCCCTCTCCTTCTCCTTCTCCTTCTCCTTCTCCTTCTCCTTCTCCTTCTCCTTCTTCTTCTTCTTCAGTCTCAACTCCTGGGCTCAAGAGATCCTCCTGCTTCAGCCTCATGAACAGCTGGGACTATAGCCACAGGAACAGGCCTACGTCACTGAACTTGGCTTCGAAAACATTTTAAACAAGATTTGTGATGTTGAACTCTTTGTAAATTGTCAATACTCATTTAACGTTACTGATGTTTCATCCTCTTTCCTAACAACTTTGCTGAAAATACAGCTGTGAGTTTTTGACACTTACATGTTTGGTTTCTGAGTAATAGTCTTTATCATTCATGCATTGGTCACACCAACCTCCCCATCTTTAAAAATTGTGTGATGTATTCTGAGACATTAGGCTTTTGCTTTAGCCTTATGATTGCGTGGACTAGCCTGTAACAGAAAACTTTCTACACACAGTTATTATTTTTTGCTATTGTTGTTAGTGCCACACTGGACAAGAATCTTTTTACAACATTTTAAATAAAAACCAGGAATCTAAATTAATGTTAAAATACAGCTATTTGGGATATGCAGTGCAAAGCAAATGATTGACATGAAAATATGATTAATTCTTTCTCTGCAAAGCTAAATTTGTACCATACATTAAGTTGTAACTACTTGCCCATCAAAATGCACTCCTGACTGCTTTGAGTTTCTTTTTGGTTTAATTGTAAAAATACTCTGAATTCAGAAATATGTATGTGAAAATGTTTTCCCCTTTATAATGAGGAAACCATGTACCTATTATTGAAAGCTAACTAATTTCATATTTTATGTCCTCTAGGCTAAGATCAAAATTCCAAATGCGTTGGGGATCAGGCAGGTAACCTTTTCTAATAAATACTGTAAGGCCTGTGGAGGCCTGTGGAGAACTGAAGATCACACACCCTGCCAAAGAGCATTGACATTCTGTTTTTACGAAAATTGCAGCCAATTATATCTTCTAGAACCTTTCTTATCTAGTCTCTGCTTGACTTATAAATTATGATAAAACCTTGTATTGTAATTATGTTTCTATAAATTTTCATTTCTAACAGTTTTTATTTTAGGTTCTTTTTCTGGATTCTTTGCAGGTTTCATTGCAATTAGGTCATTTATCTTTGTGAGATCACTTTAAATCTATTTGGTGTCTTCTCTCACCTTCTACTTTGCCACATTTTACAATTTCCTTTCCCTCTTCCTTTTTTATCTCCATCATTCTCAGATTTGTTCTCTCTCTTTCATGTTGGAGTTTGGCAGCCCTGTATTCTCATGGTACCAGGAAATGAAATACCAGTGTGTTCATCTTCTGGGCATATTGAAGCCCAGTCTTTCTCTCTTTATTTCCCCCTTAAATATCTTCTCTTTTTATGCATCATTTCATCGGTAAATATTTTAATGATTATGTACTTGATAATTGTTGTCAACTGGCCTATGCCTATTTAGTCATTCACAAATTTATACCAGTAGCATTCAATATGTAGGGGTGGATGAGAGCTAAGAATATTCTCTTCACACTTTCCTACCTGATTACAAAGAAAAAAAAAAGGTTTCAAATTGAATACTTACTGTGCTGAAATTTCAATGAAGCCCCAGATCTCTTTTTAGGTGTTCCAAATATAATTCAGATAATATAAAATGTCCAACACAATTCAATGTCTAACATTGTTTTTGTAATTAAGGTAAAATTTACATAACATAAAATTAACCATTAGCCAAATTAAAGTGTGCAATTAGTGACATTTAGTCCATTTACAGTGTTGAACAGCCATCAACTCTAATTCCAAAATGTTCATTACCCCAGAACAAAAAAATCCTATACCCATCAAATAGCATCTTACCTGAACTTCTCTCTCAATACAAATGTGATACCCTGATAGCACTGGGTTTTTGCTAAACTAATTATAATCAGGCCAGATGAATTCCCCAAGAAAGCCACTGAATATAGGACCATTTGAATGAAGTTGTAGGACCCCTGGGTTCTCCAGATCCTTAGATTCTTAGAACCTGTTCCTATAAGGACAGGCTTGGTCAACACTGGTAACTGATCTGTGTGTTGTGAATATGATCAGTTTACTAACTAAACTCATTTCTAACATGGTGACTAACAAAGCTTCTTGTGGTGATCAGGCATTTTGTTAGCTACTTCTGAAGTATGGGCTTCTGATAGAAATTTGCTAACTACTCCTGGAATGTTTATTCTTATTTAGGATAGCTGAGTGCCCCTAGAAAGTAAATTAATATACATATTGTCTATGTTGAATAACCTTAGAGTTATATGCATAATTAACTTTTACAACTTCAATGATAAAATTTGAACAAAAGTGAGAGGCAAAGGGAATATTTTTAAAAATATTTTTAGTTGTAGACGGACACAATACCTTTAATTTAATTATTTATTTTTATGTGGCACTGAGAATTAAACCCAGTGCCTCACACAAGCTAGGTAAGCACTCTATTACTGAGCCATGACCCCAGCCCCACAATGGGAATATTTAAATGGAGCACAGACTCCTTGAGAGTTCCAGGTTAAACTTGAAATGATAGTGTAAATAATACTGTTCCCACAAGTGTCCTTGATTTCCATGTCCTCCTCAATGTGTGAGCAGGTCGCCCTGTTGGGGGTGATTCCAAAGGTTAAAGATACATATTTATACCACATGGCATCTAAGCATAAAGACTTTTTCACCTGATCTTGAAGAAAAGGCAGACAGATATCTGCTTCAACAGGAGAGAAAAGGACTGTTTCACTTGCAGAAAGGCACAGTTTTCCAGGGTATTCCAGATATTTTTTACTATCTTTTGATTTTTGCCATAAGAGCATTAGAATCCACCTGCCCCCAGTCATACAATGTAAGATGAGATGAGTCTGGATCCAGCATTGAACTAGGCTCTTTGAGGCTCCTGGAAAAGTGTGAGGTGAAGTCTCCTTGCTTTGGAAGAATTTAGGATCTGCCTGTTTGAATTACCTCGGGATAAACAGTCAGTAGGAGCAAGAGTCAGGATAATTTTAGCCCAGAACCAAAGTAGCTTTGTGTTATTTTTGATGGGAAAAATCACAAAACTTATATTCATCATGTGAGAAAGAATATTTTGTCTAACACATAGATTTAGAATCCCACTGTGAAATTCCAAAGACAAACTCTAGTTAAGTTTATGGTAGGGCTGATTGGTGGATTTATTACTTGAATATCATTCCTTTGTTCTAACCAGATAGTGATGAAATTATAAAATAATCTATATGTACTGTAACCTTGATTGTATATCCATTCTCATTGCTGATGTGTGGAATATCTTGAAAAAAATCTCCTCATCCCTTTTCTTAATACTGACGGTTATGGGCTTTATTGATTTTTAAGTTTGCTGATTTCTTTCATGGTTTTTAATTATGATTCCAAAAGGTATTATCTTTTGATGCCTATGTGGAAGATGAAGTGCCTGATAAAAACCAAGAAAACTATAGAATAAGATACTATAAAATCTACTTCTACCTTGAAGATGACACAATTCAAGTGAATGAACCAGAGGTGAAAAATAGCGGACTGCCTCAAGGTATTTATTTTAAGCAGCATTATGATTCTTTCACTTCTAACTCTTGCCTTTATATACAGTCTTTCTTTTAGCTTTTTAAAAAGCTCATGCTAATCCTTAGGTATCTAACTTGTTGGCAATGGTGATAGAAGGATGCTGTTAGTGTTTAATTAGTCATAGTGACTTAATCAGCCTTCTACCCCACATACTTCAATCATTTTTCTCACTGCTCTGTGGCATATTGTATCCTTTCAGGTGCTGCTCCAGTATGAGCAAATTCTCATGTGTCTTTGACTTTGTCCTCAAATCCTTTGGTCTCTTTGTCACGGCCACAATTGCTTTTTGCACAACATTATCAATGGAGAAGAGAAAGCTATTCTCTGTTGCCACTTTTAGATTGATATTCTTTCCTGAATTTACTGTCATTTGTTTAAACTACCCTCTCTTCTTCCTGTTAACTAACATCATTTATGGTAATTAACAAAACATTGATGGTACCCTAACAGAAAGTCCTTGTTCCTTCACCCTGTGTATAGCATCCATTTTTTCTGTACTCATCTTCAGCTACAGATACGTGTGTGTGTGTGTGTGTGTGTGTGTGTGTGTTTGTGTTTTAATTCTGTGACATGGCCACCACCAGAGGAACTAATCCAAGGCTGCATTATTAGAGTATGGAAGAAGATATCAAGGGAAGTGACTGATTAGTTCTGGTTGTGCTATGGGTCCATCCCTCGGGATGATGTTGAATTCTGGATACCTTCAGGGGACAGTAATTAACCGTGATGGTGTGAGGACTGAAAGTTTGTCATGTGTAAGACAGAATACTGAAAAACAATATTTTTCTGTAACAGGAGGACTCAAGTGTGTCTGATAAATGTCTCTAGATATCTAAGGGAGTATCATATGGAGGAAGGATGATCACATTTTCTGTATCCTCAAGGATGGAAGCTAGAGGTCAGAAAGAGAAAGAACTTACAAGCAGAGAGCTGCCAGAAGTTGTAGTGGATGGCCCTGGTTGGCCTTGGATGGAATTAAGGGTGGGGGTTTGGTGTAGAGTGGAGGAGTAAAGAGTCACATTCATTGCTATAAATGGATGCCCCTGGGCAAGGGTCAGGTGTTGTTTTTCACTGATGGTTTAGTCCAGGCATTGCAGGGGAGTTGAGTGTTGGTTTGATCATTGATGTAAATGTTCTTTGTTGGTTGGATCATTAATGTAAATATTCTTCCAGGGTCTTTGTTCCTTGAACAACTACAGTCCTTGGGTGCAGTGTCATTTCTTTGTCTTTTGGAATAGTCCCATCTCCATTATCTCAGACTCTGAATTATTTTCTCTTACTACAATCTCTACTTCTTTTACTTTCTCCATTTGTTCATACTTACCTACCATTCCTGTTCTTCATTCTCCTAGCAAAATGTATTCTGAACTTATCCATGTCTTTTGGGCCTATTTACTACCATTCTAATCCGAGCTACTCTCATCTCTTGATTGGAGGATGGAATAACTGCCAACCGTGGTCTCCCTGCCTCCATTTCTGCATCTTCTACCATGTCCTCTATGTGGTATCCAGCCATGGTGTTGCCTAGGATATTATCTTGATGCAACGGTGGCCTCTAAAAAGCATGCATACATGCTCCCCCAGAGGCCACAGATCAGAAATTAAAATTGTGGGTGAAATTAAAATGCATGAATCATACAATAGATTACATAATTTAAAATGCACAACAAGGGCTGGGGATGTAGCTCAGTGGTTGAACACTTGCCTAATATAGGCAAGGCCCTGGATTCCATTCCCAGCAGCAGAACCCCACCCCCCACCCCACAATAAAACTGCACGGAGAGAAGACAGGGGAAAGGGTAGATTTACATACTGTGGGCTAAGTTCAAGTGGGTAGAATGACCACACTGCCTTAATCCTGAGATAGGCAATAGTTTGTTCCCCACCCCTTCTCCTTCACAACCTCAGCTGTGGATAATGTGGTTTGGAGACCAGAATTGAGGGTCAAGCAAGGAGAACCACAGACAGAAAATGCCCTGGTCCATGGGCACATCATTGCTCTATTGGAGAGACGAGTGTTTGGTCACAGCTGTAGCTCACCAGTAAGAGTGATGAATAATCATGGGTTTTGTTTGTGTTTCTTGGACAGAGGGTCCATGGGGCCAGAATTGTTGTTGCTAATGAATGAGTGGCCGAATTAAGGCCTCATGAATATTGAGTATTCATGAATATTTAGTGTCTCTTGTATATTTAGTGTCTCATGAATATTTAGAGCCCAGGTGCCTCATGTATATTTAATACCTACTGAAAATTAGTTATCTCTTGGTCCTTCCATCCCTTCCTTTCTGTTTTTAACACATACATATCCTACTTACTTCCTTCTTGTCATTACTTAACACATCTTGTGATTTGTGCCTGTGTTGAATGAAGTTTTTGCTTACTAACTACTTATTTAAGCCTGATGCTTCCACAGTGGTGTACTATAATGAGTTCAAGGGAGCAGAAACAGGAATTTGGAGGCCAGGGGCCTCTGAGAAAAGGTTGTCATGTAGCCTTATTTCAGTGTGCAAAGGACTTTTCTCAATGCTCATAAGACTGAGGCTTTTCTTACAGCATGGCTTTATTGTGTCTGGTGCTTGGGGTGATGAATTTGAAGCCACTTGGCATTGCCAATAAGTGTTTGTTGAATACCTGTTCTGTGCTAGGCATTATTCTGGGTTTTGGGAGAAAGGACAAGATGATTAAGACCTATCATGCTCTGATCTCATGGAGTTTACAGACCAGCAGATTGAAGAGGAAAGGGAGCATAATGACTAGTCCAGGAGTTTTATGGTTGTTCTGGCTAGAAATGCTAAGTGTCCAAACCAAGACAATGGAAGTAGGACTAGAAAGCTGGGGAAAGATTTGAGAGACCTTTGGTTGGCAGAGTTGATAGGCCTTTGGTGACTAAATATAGAGATTGAGGAAGGGAAATATCTATGATAAAGTAAGTACTTTACCATTATTATCTCATACAATCCTCCAATGACTATCTAAAGTTGGTATTGCCATTGTGACTTTTACTTAAAAGAAAACAGGCTTAGGGGGTAATTTGCTTGTGTGTGTGTGTGTGTGTGTGTGTGTGTGTGTGTGTTGCTGGGGATTAAGCCCAAGGCCTTGTGACTACTAGGCAAGAACTCTTACCACTGAGCTATACCAGAGTCCTAGCTGATTGCTTCAGAGATCTCTAGTAAAAGGGATGGTGATACCTTTGTAAAAAGTCCAGGAGTATGGAGCACAGAGTATGGGGCAGGATTGGGGTTTGTTGTTCTGGTACGTTTGTTTGGGGGCATGAGGCCTTTGAAGGAATTAGGACATCTATGTGTGATATCCACTAGGCAGGTGGAACTTCAGGATGAATTTTCTATAAAAATAAAGACTAAAAATGTGAATTGGGAATCATGAGTACTCAGATCATGACCAGAATCAGTCTGTTCCACTGTATTGAAGGAGTGCTGCTGCCGACGTGGTGCAAAGAGGAAGAGGATTTGATTTAGTATCTCTGCTGGTTTTTCTAGTAGAGGGAGAAGAAGGCCATATAAGTTGTCCTCATTGTTCTTTGGTTCCAAACTTGACTGAATGGTCTAGGAAATATGGAAATGCCTTAATATTTTTTTAAATATTTTTTTAGTTGTTGAGGGACCTTTATTTATTTATTTATATGCGGTGCTGAGAATTGAACCCAGTGCCTCATACCTGTTAGGCAAGTGCTCTACCACTGAGCTACAACCTCAGCCCAACTTATTAAAAAAGGTTCTGACATAATTTAAGGTTAAAAATGTGACATTTTATTTTTAAGGGACTATAGTTTTAGACTTTGGGGTCATTTTTAACATATATAAGGCAGTTTTTAAAGTTTGTAAAGAATGTATTAAAAATGTTTATAAAATTATTTTTAAGTACAGAAAGAGATAATTTACAACTTTTCATTTCTGTGAGCATCTGTTTTACTCAAGTATATTTGATTAGGTGGATGACAATATTGCTTTTCTGACCAAACTGCTTATTTTCTGATTACTTTCCCAGTCAAAACACCAAATTTGCCCAAATGATACAATGAAGGCCACACACTATCTCAAACCTGCATTATATATATCCCAAACCTGGATTATATTTTTATTATTATTCCTTTTTAAGTGAAAACTCATATTCCTATAGCTCACTGGCCCCTGTCCAGTGCATTTTTGTTTTATTAAACCAGCCAAGAAGAAATATGAAATACAACCTCTAGGATGATCTTGGAAAGGCTCTTAATAAGATTTTCAATTCTCTCAGCCTCAATTTCAAATCTCACAAAGGTAGATTCCAAAGACAAGTTGAAGATAGTCATAATGATGCACTTGAAAATAATTTTTATGTAAGAAAGAAAGATTGTTATTCATAAAGACAAAGAAGAACCCTGAGTAGAAAGACTACTTTAAAATCTTTGCAGAAAATTGTAGAATTTCTCATCGGTTTACTGTGTGTGATCAGGACATTTCTCTGTGTGAAGTTGCAGCTCGAGGATGGTGGACAGAATACACAGTAATCACGCTGTGTAACGACATTGAGTTTGTCAGCAGAGTGGAGAAACCTGGAGGGCTGTAGCAAATCCTGTCGAAAGCAAACATGAATAACCACTCTGTCATCAAACTTTGTTTAGAAAGAAACCAGTATCTCTTGAAATATTTAATACCATGATTCTTGCTAAAAAAAGTTCTGTCTGGACAGTGAATAGTTTGAAAAAGCCTTTAAATGCTTTCCTAAATTAAATAATAGGGAAAAAGAAAACAAATTGAATGAGCCTGGGGTTCAGACCTTGGTGGGATGTGCTAGGTAGTTTGTGTGTGTGTGTGTGTGTGTGTGTGGTTTGAGTGGTCTTGACCTGCCTTCCTTCCATATACCTGTGGGCTCTGGGAAGAGGCTAGGGGTCAAATTTAGGTGCTGTGCACTGATGGTGTTCCTGTCACTTCACAGGGTTTTGCTATTTTCCCAGTGAACTGGGAG